CTACAGCTAGAGGAACAACAATAGAAGCTGTAAACCAAACACGAGTTATTGGAGGTATACTCTTATACCACTGACCAAGATCGTTCGAACCTGACATAGTATTTTTACTATCTAAAGATCACTTATTTGACAATGAGTTATACACAAATAGGATATATTAAAGTTTGACTAAACTTATATTAACACGCCTAAAAATTAAAAAATAGTGTCACTTATTTTTTTCAAATTTCTTTTGATATTTATATATTAATTGTGAGCACATGTTCAGAGTAAGATCATTAGTAAAAGTTGAATCAATTTCTCGTCATTCGATTCTGTAGGAACTCGAAGATTTTTGTAAAGTAAAATGCATTCGCTGTTTCATCCTTCTAAAGATCTGGGGATCGATACAACATGTGTTCACATTATCAGTGTCTTCTCATCAATACTCTAATAGATATTAGATAAATTCATCCTAGGAATTTGGTAGTACGACTCAATTCTTGAGTAACTGGTGATCGAACATAAATGGTAAAAAAAGAGGTATGGTACCTAGTCGGAGTGATTATTCTTACATATATCATTAATAAAACTTGTGAATATTTGTCAAGTAATGCATCAAGCAGATCTATTGGGATATTTTGTGAATTAGAAATATTCTCCTACCTTCAAACCTTCTAGTCTAAGTAATAAACAGCTATTGAAAAATAATATCAAGTCGATGATAGTCGTACACTCGGTTATTTTTTTGTTTCTCGCTACACGTTTAATGTTTACCTTTTTACTTCCTACTTTTTTTTACATGTGGATCGAAGTCTACTCTTTCGTGTTGCATACTATTTCTCGCGTATATTATCTTATGGTTGACTGCTTGTGCGCATAGTTGTATGTAATCGATGCATGATAAAAATGTAATAACATACTTTTGTCATGAATGCAGCTAAAGTATTGGTAGGAAGTAGAAAAGCTGTTTAGATATGAGATGAATATTTATAATGTAATATTTTTTCGAGTAGTATAAATAGCTGCTACTTTTATTAGAGTAAAATCTGACTTATACATTTTTTAACATTGTTTCTATATTTTTATACTATTTAAAATCATTAGGACTCGAAAAGATTATGTCTTTTGTTTAGTATTTGATATTTTGATATCAATTAATATTTTTATCTCCATTAAAAAAAAATTAAATCCTCTTGAATCTCTCAATCTTTCACATCATTTAATCTATATAATACCTATAAAAATTCTCAATGAAACAATCGTATTTACGTCTGGATTGATGGTAGAAAATAATTATATAGTTTTTATTCATGTGTTAGCCACATTTTCATCCTCAAGATCCACATTTTACCATTTTTCTTATATAAAAAGCTATCGATGAGTAGCGATAATGACTTTTAAGGATTATCCAGAGACGCTCTTAGTAACAGCTACATAGAACATCCTGAGAGAAAAATCTCTTGATTACTCCAGAAGGATTTCTACTCGCCTGCTATTCTCCTGGAGTTGTAGCCATTATACTGGATTTCTTGATTATTGATACATTGTAGAAATTGTGTAGAATAAGAGATCCGTAAACGATTTATTATACATTGCACTTTCATAAACCCTTTTGTATAACTATCTGGAGGATTTGGAAGATCCCTTACATATCGTAAACGAGTATATCAAATCTATGTTATACCTAAAATAGGTTCACTTAGCAAAAAAATACATCTACACCCGTCTATTGAAACGTTTTTCTGTATGCTTATTAAACAATAAAAAGAATCTGTTTATACATCTCAAGCGAATATGAAAAGTAAGAACTCATTGATATATCTTAATGAAAGACAATGGAATAAAAATCTATTTCTATTTCTCAATTAAACAAACAAGAATCATATTTTAGAAATCGCAACTAAACGACTAAATAACAATATTCTCTACTGGAAAACATCTATTTTATCTCATTAAATTGATAAGGGCTACGCATGTTTGAAGTTGCTAGCAAGAAAATAGTGATTTTGTTATATTAGAATGGAAAAAAGGATAGAACAAACAGATAATTATCTATATAATAAAAAGGTTAGCTGTATTACGTGAAGAAGAAGGAAAACATCCTAGTCGACTGAAATTGCAGGAAAAAAATATTAAAAAAGATTTTCACCATAATAAATGAGCACAAAACTGGCTGCATTTAATATTTCTCGGTTTTTTCAATCTCCATAGAAACAATGTAAATAGCAGACTTTTTTCTGTTCTTTTCCTTTTATTCGCTTTTAGCCCTGTTACAGCCTTATTGACTGGTGTTCAGTGTCTAACTCTCTATCTTTATTTATGAAAAATCATTATGTATCTTTAGAAAATATCCAACGTATGATCGAAGTTGAATGATCGGAAAAATACCATTAAATATAATACATATGAAACTATGACACATAGAGAACGAAAGGCAAAGACCAAACATATATAATGGACAGGAATGAATGAGTAAGAGCGGAGTTCTGGAATCCAAAAATCGTAGATAAAACACAAAAACTCTTGCCATTCATTAGAGTCTATAAAATTTCTAGAAATTGACCAGATATTCTTCCGCAAAATCGACGATTCGTGGAAAAGTTTGATGAAATCTTTTGCGATTATCTTTTTCAGATTTATCGTCTCGAATGTTAAACTTGCAAATATGTTTGGAGACAATACATGTTGTCACATATGATAAAAACACAAAAAGAGATTTGAACTGAAAGGTGTCTAGTGTATGAGTAAAGGTAAATATATGACATTCTCATCTGAACCTGTCCTAGCCAGTGAACTGAGCTTACAGAACCACACTAATAGTCAGAATTGCTCGTTGCAGCAAAGTTCTCTTCATAAAAAATTATGAGGATGAAGATTTATGCACTCAATAAAGGGTCAATCTCAATCTCGAATTCAGCGCTTTTTCTCTGAGACTATTTTTCTTTAGATAAAAACTTTAGAATCATAGAAACTTTGAAATGCCGGGCTAGACAAACTAGTTTTCGGAGGATATGATCAAGTACTTGACTGGTGAGGGCCATCGTGATTAAAAATAAAATTTTTGAGGTCCTCAGAACTGATTGGAAAATAAGAATCAGTTGTACGGCTTGTTGTCAGCCATTTTTGAGGTAGGTAATATCTTTTCAATGATTTGATGTTTTTAACGCTCAGTCTTTACAGTGTACATAAAGGTCTACGAAAGAATCAGATTAATTAATCGACATGGGAGCTGAAAAACTGAACAGTAAGTTGGGGACTGTATAAGAGGTTAGAAGTTGTAACTAGCTATAAAGTCAAAACTAAAAGAGACCATTTTGTAGAGAATGAAATTCTGTATTGGATGGCACGTCTTTCTAGATTTTTGGAAATCTTTCTCGGTAAGAAAATCTGATTCTTTTTATAAAATAAATGTCAGATTCTTAATCACCGTTAAAAACTGTGTCTAATAGCTCATTCAAATCTGTTCACCTCGAGAAAAAAGATCTTTCAAAACTTCATCGGCAAAGTGTTCTGATTTAAATGATTTAATTTCGAGTTTTAGGTGACTTCAATCAGCTCTTTCTCCTTTGCATTTTAGTCTGACAATAACTGGGAGAAGATTCTAGGTGCCAAAATAGTCAAAGACCTTTTTCGTAAAATACAATTGCAAAAAGTAATTAGGAGTAATCCCTGCTGGGAGTCATATATGAATAAATCATTTCTAATGTGGACAGCAAAATGGTATTACCCGCCTTTCTCCTTTCAATGCGGGCGTTCAGATCTAAAAGCTATGAAACCCGAAAGAATCCATTGGAATTCAAATGAGCGGATTCCACTCTTTCCTCTTTGTGAAAATGTCTTGCCTCTTTTATTGTTTATTCATTGAAAATTAGTTAATCTTATATCTAAGGTATAGATCTTATATCTTTAATATTTTACCTCAGTGTAAATGATGTAGGTGGTCTCTTCTCTTAATGAAGAGAAAGAACAAGATTGATAGTTTTGCACAGCGCAAAAACTCCTGAAGAGAAACATTTTGACCCGTTCATTATGCGTCACCCATTATTTTGTTTATTAGATTTATTATATTTATAGAGGCTGATCACACGACACACAAAATTTTTCTGTTTTATTTTTTCGAGATTCTCTACACTGGAAGTAAAATTGTGTAACTGATTCACCAGGATATAGCAGAGGTGGTAACGAGTAATTTTGTCCTAAATTAACTGATGTTTATTGAGGAACTGTGGAATTCCCAATATCAATCAATATCTAAAAGTAGATTAATGATATTTACAAATTACTTTTAGCACAAAGCAAATATACTCACGCTATAAATGAGTCCACTTCTCCGACCGTGCGAAGATCGTCCACCCCACCACCTAAGAGCATTCAATCGCCAACTGCATGGTTTTGGTGATCGCAAAGAATATTTATTTGATTCTTTAGCAATTGATCGTCGCATCATTAATGGAATAAGCATTCGTGTAACGAAAAATGAAATTGGCCAAAACAGTATTCCAACAGCAAGAATTCCTAATCCAATGCCAATTAATTGAGTTGATCCTCGTTTACCAGAGCTATCAATTGTTTTACTATTAACGATAAATAATGCAATACTTCCCATGATAATTAAAACAGAAATAAGAGCACAAATAATTAAAGTTATTCTGAAAGATTTTGCTCTATTAATATTTTTAATTGACTCTTCAAATTCATCTTTTGTAATTATTCCATTTAGACGTTGTGGATAAGTTGAATCAAATCCTTTTCTACAGCATCCAGCTATTATATTTAAAAACAAAGATTATTATGATTATCGTATAGAAATACAATAAATTTTACACTCACTTGGAACTATCGATACCTTAATTGCATTTGCATTTGGGGGAACACCAATCATTTCTTTTTTATTTAACTAAAAAAACGAAATTATTAATATTTTTTGAAAAATTTCCGACTTTATCACAATATAGAACAAAGTTGCCTGAGTAGAAAAAAAGAAACTTCATACGCAAAGAAGCCAATGTATAATTTGTCTGAATTTTTTTCTACTTTTATTTACTCAACAGTAATGTACGTCATAACTACTACAGAAGAAAAAAAGTATGACGTGCATACATTCTCAATCGTCATCAATGCAATTTATTGTGAAGTTGTGAATTGTGTTACTACGCATTTGAAACACCAAGGAGATTAAAACTGAAAGACACAACATGATTCTTCTTCAAAGAGGATGAATGTGTTTATACTATTTTGTTTCTCGATGAAAAACTCATCTGAATCTTAACAATAATGAATTTTTCAACAGCTATTGATACAATAGAACACTATTCATTTTCTTCCATTGTTGTCCCGTAGATAGAAACAAAAAAAAGATACGTTGTCGATTATTTTTAAAAGAATAGAAAAAAATCTTTCACAGCAATCGCTTCGACATTAAAAATGTGGAATAATGTTTTCATAGTTACGTCTGTTACAGTCTGTGTGGGAGAGAGGAATGTGAAATTTTTGCTTTTAGATACTTCAAGGCTTCTTTTAGATTTTGTTTCACAAAAACGAAGTTGAGGGTGTGAATGTGGATATGGATGCTGTATTCACCAAGCGCCGGCATCCACACACACCTACACCCTCACCCTTACCCACACCCCACACCCTCGAGATCTAGTTTTATAATTTATATTGGGCTTCAACGACAAGAAAATGACAGAAATGTGGCATCAACAAAACATGTATCTAGACTAATGAAGTTTTCTTTTTGATTTTCCTGCATTAGATGTTTCTAATGAAAGCTCAAACATAGAAGTTCCGACGTGATAAGATTGTACTCCATACATAGAGCTCATCATTACGAACTGATAGCGATAAGAAATGAAAAGTATACTAGAAATTTTCTCGATCGTTATCGATTATTGCTAATGTTACAAAAGATATAAAGTAAGTGCTATATTTACAAATTGAATCCTCTTTAAGTAGCTCTACTTGAAAATAGAAATTAAAATAATGATAAAGATACTTTTCTAGAAAAATAAATACGATAATGTTATGAACCAAGCATATATTTACTATTTGATTAATTCTTCATAGTTGAATATGTACATTTCATATGTAATCGCTAGTTAATATTGTATGCTTTAGAGTAAATGTTACTCCATATTTTTTCACTACTCATTCGAGTATATATGTATGTATATATCAGCAGTGTGGCGCAGAAGTAGCGCGTTGGTCTCATAATCCAAAGGTCGATAGATCAAAACTATCCATTGCTATAATACATTTTTGTAATTTCTCTTTAGAATTGCATAATGCAAAGAAAATGTTAATCTTGTGCAATCATAAATAGATGATGCAAGAAAAAGAAATAGATTTGTTCTGTAATATTTTTTCATACGGATTATATTTATTAAATGAAACAAAAGCAAGTATTCATATTAAAATTCTCTTGTTTAAATAAATATTTTCTTATGCTGATAACTAATTTTATCACTATCATCTCTTGTAATAACTTTTTTAAAAAGATCAACTGGCCGTTGATAAAGACAGTTATTTGAAACAGCGCGATATCTTGAACTTGTGAGTATTCTTTTCATAATGTTGCTATTGTACGGTGTAGACGAGGAGAAGAAATCAATATTATTAGAACACATATGCGCATCTATCTGAAAAAAACCATAAACTACTAAGTGCTGTCTGCTTGTATTGGCATGAAACCATCATCTGCATATGAGAACCCAATACAATTATCAGGAAATATTGTTGAGAATGGAAATGGCGCGCTCGAATGACTTTCTCTATATGTTCGAAGGAAGTAAAATATATAAGCTTTATCTATATGAGGGTGGGTGTGGGTGTGGATGGATATGAGTGTGGGTATTTTATTTTTCTTTTATCTACAGCGATATTCCCACCCAAATCTACACCCACATCACCCATCAATATAGTCAGTTACATTATAAAAAGCATGGACTATTTCATGTGCTGAAAGATCAGTAAAAATCTGATGAATCAATTCGACGGGTAAACGACATACTATCACTAGTCTGTCTAGAATAAAAACATAATATCATATGCAAAACACATATGTATTTATTTTTTCATTTTGATGAATGACTCTGCAAAAAAGAAAAAAATGATATCGATGTTTTAGGTTCTGTGTATGAGTCATTCAAAACGTGTTTTTAATTTTCAATACAGTAATCTACATCCTAAACTTTTAGAAGAAAATCAAAGTAACAATTATTAATCTAGATAATTTTTCATTAACGGATGGAGTATAGTATAAACATAGATTCGATAATTGAGATAGCCGACGACTATTTCTTGAGGATTAGTTCATTGTGCACAGTTCTTTCCTTGTCCTCGACTTTCAGCAACGATTAGGGTGAGTATGGCGTGAGACAATGTGTGCGTAAATAATGTCGACACCGACACCGATTTTTTGAAAAATAAATAGAAGCAATCATAGAGTAAAACTGAATATATATAAAGCTGTAGAGAAAAAGAGAAACGAACGAAAATAAGTCGTAAAATACATGGTTTATCTTATCTATAAAATGTGTAATGGTCGAAAAGAAAGAAAAGAATTCACATTTATTTCATATAATAATAATATACGTGCAGAGAAAAAACTATTAAATTTTGTTAAAAAATTTTTCGATGACTCGTATTGCTCTAGTAACTGGTGCTGCTCGAGGAATGGGGCGAGCAATTGCTCTTCGTCTTGCAAGAGATGGACTTAATGTAGCTGTTAATGATATCAATGAAAATTCTGTTGGACTTCATGATACTCGAAAAGAAATAGAAAAATTCGGTCGAAAATCTTTGGCAATTATTGCGGATGTTGCGAATGAGAAAGAAGTTGAAATAATGATCAAGAATACTGCAAAAGAATTAGGAAGTTTAAATGTATGTATAATATCAGATTCTTTTTTTCTATCTTTTACGTATGAATAATACAGGTTATGGTGGCGAATGCTGGAATTTGTCCAGTAAAACCTCTAATTGAATTGTCTGCTGATGACTGGGATAAAGTAATGGGTGTTAATTTACGTGGTGTTTTTCTTTGTTATAAAGAAGCTGCAAAAGTAATGATTGCTCAAGGTAATGGAGGTAAAATTATTGGTGCTTGTAGTGTAGCTGGTTACATGGCAGCACCACTGGCAACTCATTATTGTGCTAGTAAATGGGGTGTTCGTGGCTTAACTCAATCTGCTGCTGTAGAACTAGCTCCATACAAGATCACCGTTAATGCTTATTGTCCTGGTATATTTCACAATTGTTTTCTTTTGATGACAAATCTATTTTTTTTTATTATAGGAGTTGTTGATACTCAGATGGTCAATTCATGTAGTGAACAATTTGCAGCACATAACAAAGTGTCAAAAGAAGATATCTACAATAGTTTTTTACAAAAGATTCCTCTTGGACGCTTGGCTAAACCTGATGATATAGCAAATTTCGTCTCTTACCTTGCTAGTGAAAATTCGAACTATATAACTGGACAAAGTATTATAGTTGATGGAGGATTTTCATTATCTTAATTTTTAATTATTTAGAAAAGATAACTTTTCTATCGTAGAATATCGTGTTGATTCAATAAAATATTACAGAAATAAAAATAAAATTTTATGAAACGAAATATTCACATTCATTGATCATCTTGAAAGTGAGGGTGTGGGTTTGGGTGACAGCGTGGGTTGGTTATGGGATGATATATACCCACACCCACACCCACACCCACAAGAAATGTTATCTTTCGTTAAACAACCATTCTTTAACTAAAAGTTTTCAAAGTTAGATTAAAAAGTACATCGAATCTAGTCGAATGCACAACTAGGAGGCATATTATTCACACTTATCTACCTTGTATCATGTAGATCTTGAGGGTGTGGGTGTGCGTGTCTGTGCTGCTATCTTACACCCACATCCACACCCTCAAAATGCTTTTCGAAATTTGCCGAATATTTTTTGGGATTTGGTAGAGCAACGATTTTTCTTAGAGTGTACCATATTTATACCCTCACCCACCCGCACCTGAAAATCACGCCCTACCCACACCTACGCCCACAGCTACCCACAGCCTCAGACAGAAGATATGTGGTTCGAGTCCCGTAAGGAAAACTTTTATTCTTTTATTATTTGACCCTCACACCTTCACTCTCACTCTCTTGAATGATTTCCAAAAGGAATGAGTTTGTCATAAAAAGATTCGTCATCTCACTCCGCATGGTCTCATGTGCACTCTTTGATGGAAAACAGATATGTCAATTTACATTGTTATGTATTCCTGTCTTTTAAAAAATAAGTGAAACTGAATTTAATAGATTTAAATTCACTTCTATGGTCATAACTACTGAAAAGTCAAGTCGTCTTTATTGTTAATCAACAATTTCACCATCACGATCAAAAGCGATGGCAAGATTAACGGCATCATCGTCACTTGCGTTATCCAGAGCGTTACAAGCAGCAGTAAAGTCGTCAAGATTATAATCAAAATCGTTAAGGCCATAAAGACCGTGAGCGACATCAGTAGCAATGCCGTCACTACGTTTATTACCAAAAATGCCAAGATACGCATAGATATTTTGAATAATACAACGGAGTGTATCGTTAGACAAACGATCAGCAGCAGCAGCCGCAGCACCTGTAGCGGCACGACGAGCAGTTTCAGCAGCACTAGCAGCACCATCGGCATCGATTTTAGCAACAGCTGCACAATTATCATTAGCGGCAGCAGCGGCGGCAGCAGCAGCAACACTACGTGCAATAGCTCCAGCGGTCTGAGCATCAGTCTCAGCATTAGCAGCAGCACCATGAGCAATTAAAACAGCAAGATTTCCACGAGCAATATTAGCAATAGCATCACCACGAGTAGTGGGATCATCAAGAGCAGCATATGCAAGATCTCGAGTATGACGAGCATCAAGAGCAGCGGTAGCAGCATCGATGAGATTTTTAATAGCACTGTCACGAGCGTCAGCAGCAGCAAGATATTTATCAACCGTTGCAGTGGGATCATGGACGTTTTTGGTTTCGTCTTTGTGCCGAGCTGTGAAATATATTCAAAGTTGAGTTATTGATATTGTTTAAAACCACAGTATTTTTTTTGTATACATTGGTGTGAGTGTAGATGATGGTAAAGGAGAAAGTAACACCCACATCCATACCCCATTTTCAGAATAGTACATGCCGGAAATCATCAAAATGTTTAGTCAAAGAAAAGGTGTTGAAGAAAAGCTTATATCATTTCTGAAAGATTTGAAGACGGATTATCTTTCTATATAATTGTCTCAATGCTGGAATTTCTGACGAAAACTAACTTTTTGATGGCGCCCGAGTATTTCTGCTCTCAGGAAGCCTTACAGAATAGTTAGTTTTCAGAAAAATCGAATCTTACCATTTGGATCTGAAATTTTACAGCTAGAAAAACCTTAATTAGACAAGTTTCTATAAAAAATTTAGAAGTTTTGACCGAAGCCTTTTCGAGATATGAAAGCTTGAAGATGCGGTGTGCTGTGTATATTTGTGTAGGTGTGTCTTATCTTTATCGAACTCGACTGCCACTCACACTCACACTTTATGTCGGCATTTGCCATCCTTTTAGGTCTGCATCGAATCTTCCTTTAAAATGACTTCGCTATTAGTGTAGTTGAAATTTTATCTGCTGCAAGATACAGCTTATACTTTAGAAAAGCTATTCTTCTCTAGCTGTTCTTGGAGATACTAACTCAGTAGTTTAAAGTCTGACAAGCGACGAGACAACGTTCTAATTTTCCACGTATACCTGTTTTACTATTAGGGTCAATTTAATTTCCCATTGTTATTCTTGCTCTATCGTTACCACTGTACGTCGTGTGTTTTTTAAAACTATTATATATAAGAACAAAACTTGGAACGTAGTGCATTTTATAGTATATTATATATTCTCAAAAATGCATTATGTTTTAAGTTTTGCTCTTATATATAATAGTTTTAAAAAAACACATGGTGTACAGTGGTAAAGATAGAGCAAGAACGACAGAGAGCAATTTAATTGGCCCTCATGGTACAAAACCGAGAAAAATGGCGGGACTTCCATACTTCAACGTGCTCCCTGTATTTCCAAGCGATGCCATAAATATTTTTCAGAACTTTTCAGGTATCTTAAATGTACTAAAAAGTTGTGTTATGGTATATTCGCTGAAGTCCATCATATTTAAGTGTATTCATCAATAAAGCCGAAATACTTCGCTTTACCTAACTGGCACTCGAACTTAGACTATATGACATATATATGTTTTATCCTCGAGTATACCAACACAGACTGGATTCCGAAAATAATCATACTACATGTCCACAATAGATCTAAAATAGCTGAGAAGTTTTGAAGGTATAGTTAGGACATAGCTGGGAAGTATAAGGAGTACGCTGAGCACTGAAGTCCGATCTTTTTCCCTGCATCGAACTGATCCATGTTTAATGATAATATGATCACATGCGAGATAAAGAATACTAGAGGATGAGAATTATATTAAAAGAAAACAGAAAACATTGCTTTTCCTCACCATTGAATCGTTGTCTCAGTTTTAAGTAGATCAAATACTTTTTCATCTTTGCCTCGAATTCCATGCGTTCGACATTGAAACAAATACCTGGAAAAACAAGTTCTTCCTCTTCGTGGCTGTATTTAGACAAGTGGCTGATGTCCGCAGTAAAAGCGCACAATACTTGAATGATAAATAAAGTGTTTCCGAAACGTTCTGCTTGTTTTCGATTTCGACTGCACGACGTAAATGCTTGAAATGATCGGTATTCGTCGGGATGATTAACCATGTTTTCATAAATAGCTATCTGCTCGTGTGTCAGATTCGCTCCGCGGTAAAGTACCATATTCGTTTTCATGGTTGTATTAACTGGATCATCCCAGAGAAGCAAACAAAAAGGACCCAACGTATGAACTTTACTTCGCCAGACTTGCTCATGATTTTCATCGCCTATTAGGCGCATTACTTCGTTCATTTTTTTGTATAGAAAACTGTTCAATGAGTACAGGTAAGCACAGCATTTCCACACTTCTTCCATTCCTTTGTCTTTTGTTTTTCTAAGATCGGCGGCCATCTTTTGAGCTTCGTGCTCTTTTCCAAGTTGCTTTCCTTCTTCAATAATCCCTAAAGCAGCTTTCTCCACAAACATCGGAACGAGTTTTTCGTCTTTGGAAGGCAATCCAGTTCTGCGAAGACATAAGTCTTTTCTCAATTGTAATATGAAGGGTGAAACCCAGCCATACTGCCCTCCGAACGGTCGTTTTGGAGAAATTGGATCAAACATAAAGCGGTCTGTTCGTAAATACATATCTTCTCTTTCACGCATCAGCCGCTTTACACGTCTCTGCTTATTTCCATCCAAATTGCAGATTTGAACCATATGCTTGAAATCAATGTAGTAGCCGTCAATTTTGGCTCCCTGTTGTTTATTCGAGAACATTTCTTCGATAATTAGATTTTCCACATCCGAGTAACTACTCCATTCAGCCGGCTCCGTCTTCGACCATGGATTTGGATTCGACTGCCACATCCAGTCACAATGCTTTAAAGCGTCCAAAACTGTAGACGTTGATTCAGCCATAAAAATCGCTTTTCTGTCCTATGCTAGCTGATGTAAGCTTGCCAATAATCAATTGTTGTCAGATCTGAAAGAGTTTAAAATAGGTGCGTGACATCTCTGAATGCAAAGAACTAGTCAACCAGCTCAAATGAGGGTGTGGGTGTGGGTGTGGGTGTGGGTGAGTATGAGTGTAGGTGCAGAGAGA